TTGAGCCAAAGTGCTAGAGGAGACAACCTCGAACAAACAATCCGTGCGGCTGCTGGGGACCCGCTCGTACCCAAAATTCCCAAGTCACCTCAACGAATTTCATGTTCTATAACTGAGAAGTCAAGTGTCAAAAACAGAGACTAAAGACACTGGAACAGCCATTCATGGCTTGTCAATTCAACATCAAACTGTCATACGCCAATCCTAGGTGCCGGGAAACCGGAAGTCTGAACCCAGATGCATTCAAGTTAAATACCCTATTCACTTGAGCTGTCAGATTCACTAACTGTGAGGTGGAGCGGATAAGATACGAGGTTATAAAGAAGCAGTGTTCGTCAATCTGTGGCACTAGTGGTATGCAAGTATCGCATCAAGTAATAAGACCGCACAAACAGATGACTGTCTTAGCGCCGTATATCATTCCTTCCTTCGCAAGCTCCGATGACCACTACCACTAACTTTGGTGACAGCTGCGATATACGGTGTATTCCGCTGGCATTAACCTTCCTAGCTCTTCTTATAACCGTTGTTTCAGTGAAAGTACCGGATTAAGACTACTTTAGATGACGCAAAGCCCTCATTTGACGATGGCCACACGCTTGTGTAACGCCAAAAAAGTACGGGCACAACTGTGGGTTATTTCGTAAAAATTAATGGGTAAATAAGGTTCAGCTCTTTGTATATTAAGTTCAGAAGCTTTTCATTAAGTCTATTTTTGCATATTCGGCATTATGAGCCACATAACTCAATAACACACTTTAACTCGCTGCTACTCCCTGTGGGCATTAAAACAGGTTTCTGTAAGGAGTTATGTGCTAAGCAATCTCCACTCTTTCCCACCACCAGGACACCGGGTTAGGAACGCTTCATAATACAGTTCGATACTATAAGAGTTAAAATTAAGGCTCAGGTTAAACTTAAGGTTAAGATTAGAGTAGACGTAGGTTTGAAGTTGGGATAAAGGTCTGGGTCGCTGCAATTTCTTATAACACAGGAATAGGCGACATTCTGTAAGTTACTACAAGATGATATGAATTACGGAGGCGTACTAATACCCACGTCCTCCCAGAGGAAGAAGGTGGGGGGCATGTAAAATATCACCACTCGGATTTTTACGCCATTGTTTGGCCTACAGCAGTAAAAAAACTTTCAGAAAACCCGGCAATATACTGAAGCAGATAGTTTACTCACCTGACCCGAACAAGTAACAAGCACATGCGGCTCACTTTGGTCAATTACATAGGGCATCCAACCGTAGATCTGAAATAGATGACCGAGAAATAAAATAGAGAATAATTACGTAATCATAATGTAGTCTCAGTAAAAAAAACAACGTAGGGTGTGAGGAAAACAGAAGGGTGAACTGATAACTAACCTTAAATAGAACAAAGTGATTGTGTAGAGTGCAAACGGGTATTTTCAGAACGTAAAACATTGCAAACGTCCGCGATGAGCTATCAGCCCCAGTTATTAGCATTTTCATTGTGTTATATTTATTCACAATAGTTCCAGTACTATTAATGCATCCTCTAACAGATATCTAGTACTGCAATGCCCTTTTCTAGCATGATAGGGTGTCAAGTGGAACGATAAAATTAAGGGTCGTCAACACGAGTTAAATTCTCAGAAATCACTGACGAGAAATGTCAGACAGCATACATCGGCAGATTTTCGGTCTAGAGAAAAGATCAAGTAATATCGACCGGCAGATTAAAGTTTCATGGTCAGGAATTACAGAGGTTAAAGTGCTTGCGGTAAACATTTTGCTAATTGCGCCCGTAATTTCCTATTTAAATGGCTCCTTGTTGTTACTCGCACCGAACAAACACAATTGTGTCAAGTTAAAAGAATTGCGTATTTTACTCAAACGTACGATCACGACTAAATAGAGCATAAGGCGGATGCAGAAGAAAATTTAAATGATGTTGCCTGGAGTATGGTATTTTCCGAAAGCGTAGATAGTTAAAACTGCCCGCATATCTTTAATTATTAATAACAAACATACGCGGTTGAGTTTCAGCATAACACAGGGCTTATTTTCCGGATAGCCAAAATCATTGGCTCGACTGCACGCTCCCAGGGTGGAAAGAGGAAATTGACAGACTTTGGTTGCGATATTTGGTTTCTTTACGGGGCCCGAGCAGTCAGCGAATTCCTGTTTATCTTTTAGACTTATTTCTTCGTAATAATCCAAAAGGGCATTCAAGTTGTCAACATATTCAAAGTAATCTTGCGGATCCTTATTTGAGTAGTGAATAAGTGTTCTTTGCTCATCGATAATCGGTCGCATGGCAACACCTAGAAATATGATTCAAAGAATTAATATTACCTGGAGCAAATCCGAGAAGGCTTTGGTTTCCCGTTCGCATGGGCATGTCAGTTTGAACTATGAACTGCAGGAATATCATTAGCATCGAAAGGAAGAAGCCCGCAAGAAATGAGTAAAAACAGACGTAGTAGGCAAGAATTTTGGCTAAACAGGAGCATTCGAAAATTAAAATACACAAACCCCATGAGTCGCATGTTCGTCCAAGAAATGTTTTTTTGTGCCTGTTATAAAGCCACTTAGGACATCGGCTTGGTGTTTCATAAGACAGGATAGATAAGTTATCTGAGAAGTCCTGTATTGACATTTTTAATTTTCACTCTCAACTAGGCGTCATCCGACACAAAGTGACACTGTCGCTCTTTATAACACCGTAAGGGTCCTCGCGGATGGCTGATATTTAGGTTCTAAATCTACAAAACTATATCCAATTACGTAGAATTT